CCCCAGCCAACAGCGTTTAGGGTGTGTTTCTTGTGCCATGTACTCTGCATGTCCTTCAGGGGGCCAGGCATTGCCGCCACCCATCATGTCGCACCTTGAGCCTTGCACCCCAGCCTTCCCGTCCCGGCCCCTAAGCACACCCCCAGTGTAAGCGCATAAGCACAGGAGTGTCGACGCGTCTGGCGCCCTGTCCCCTAGCACGTAACTAGCTCAGTCAACACGAATGAGGCCCCGATGGCCTGAAGGGGGCCTTGCAGGGAGGGAGGAACAATGCAGACGACTGGACGGCGGGGAAAACCCAAGCGTCACTTCCGCTCACTCACTCTGGCTAGGTCTCTGCTCAGAGGTCCTGCTGTGCTGACAGGGACCATCCTCACCTCTCCTGTCTGAACACGTGCCCCGCGAAGGGACAAGAAGCGGGTCCCTCTGTGACTGCCGAGAGCCTGGCCCCCACACTCACCGCTCTGGGACCCGGAGGAAAGCTCCTCACTTCTACTTCTTCAGCAAACAGGAGGCTGGCCTGGCTCTGCCGTCACCCAGCTCAGAGCTCACTGGGTCCCCAGGGAGCTGACCGTTAAGGCTCCAACCACCCTTGCCCGAAGCATAAGAGCTGCTTATGCAGAAAGCACCGGCCAGCCAGTGGGGTGACACCAAGGCTAGGGACACGCCCCGGCCGCCCACCCGCACATGCTCAGCCTCAGAGCACGGCCTCACTGTGGAGCCAGCGGGAGCCAGCAGGACCTCGAGGACCCCGGGTGGCCTCGTGACACAGTGGCTTCGGGCCTCCGTCTCCTCATTAGCATGAAGGACGTGGGAGCTGCGAGCGCTCAGGGGCGTCTGAAGGTTGCAGGAGGTGGTGCGAGCCCTTGGTGGGGCACCTGCAGGCCTATTGTGTGCTGAGCGCTTAACCAACATTCGCCTGGGGGATTTGTGCATAAACTGAGCAGCAGGCCAGGCATGCTGGTTTAAATCACCTCACTGACCTCCCTTAACCTCAGCCTCGGCTGCCTGTCAGAGCGCCTAGGACAGGTTTTAGAACACAGCTGTCTGGGCGCGGGGCCCAGACAATGGTCTGCACGTTTCACAAGCTTCGGAGCCAAATCAGGGGCTGACGTTAAGACAAGGCCTGGGAGGAGGTTCCAGTGCAACGGCCAGAGCTGTCCCCCCACCGCCTGTCCCGGGGACCCACCGATGTCAGTGGCCAGCTGCTTGGTGGAGTGCGGGGT